TTTTTTTTCGCTACTGGTTCAGGTTAGAATAGCTCAGCCAGCGGACATCACTTATGGGCAAACAGAGTTGACTCGAAAAGAAATTCTTGCATGGAGTTTATGGTCTTACATACACGGCAAAAAGATAGAGAAAAGAATTCGATCACAGGGGTAAGTTTGGAAAAAACTCTTGGCCGAACCAAACACTTCTCTCTCCCAACAGAGGCTCCGACTGTTAAAATAAAATAGGAAATAATTGCGCTTTGCACTAATGACGTCAAAAATTTCTGTTCCCTGCTGTGCCTCAGGCATTAAACCTGATCGGTATAAGAGTTTTGTATGGGAAAGTCACGTTCGCCAACAAATTTTTGTCGTCTTGAAGATTTTTATCGTTAAAAGAAACAAAATCCAGCTTGGTTTCGATAATATATATTCTGAAAATAATCAAGACAACGTTAAACTTGGAAAAACTGTACAGATGAGTGATGTTATATCTTATGCGGCGTCAGAATACTGTGGGTATGTTAAAATGTGTGGAGAGGAGGGCTTCAAAGCTGTTCACGAAAAGGTGCATTAGGTCAAATTTATAGGCAAAGGCTGCTCAATTTTTTTCGCGAGTGTTTATGTTGTGCTACTTAGTACTACAGGATATAAATTACTGTATTCGTCCCGGATTCGTATCAGTCGTCTGTTCTATCTGGCCACACAGCAACAGAACAAACTTATACAATTTCCGGTTTGTGCTAAAGCTGGTGTGCTTTTACGCTTAGATATTCTGTTACAGGCTTGCGAGAAGCACATACAAACTCGATTTTCTCTTTAGCAATTTCGGTTTTGGAGTATTACACAGCCAATAATGTTATGTCATGTTTCAGTGCACAGCGGTGCTTTCTTACAAGGACAGAGCTAAGATCCGATTTCAGTAGCCTTCTTTGATCAAGTTGCTTTATTTTCTGATTTTAACCATTTATTTGAGTTACTTGAACCAGGTTTTTCTCCCTATAGCAGTAGTACTTGTTATATATTAGATTTAAGCTCAAAAAAGATTTTAACAACGCTTACTGCGAATTTTATGAACAATTTTCAGGTCGTAGTCTTTGACTAGAATGCAAAGTTTTGTAATGTAAAGCGCATTAGATCGTATACCCGTGTATTTTGCGCTATATAAATAACAAAATTATGCTATGTTAAAGTTTGTCTGAGTCACGCGGAAAGTTTAAGGTGACAAAACCTATTTTTAGTAATACAGCAAAGCGCGATTGCAAAAGTGTGCGCGTGGAGGACGATGGGCAGAGGAAAAAAGCGGGAGCCTCTCTCCTTTCCATCATCCCCCGCGGGCTTTCTTTACGCCTCTTCTCAGCCCGTGACACAAACAGTCCCCCGCGGAGGAGAAACACGTCTTCAGTTTCTAGTTTATGTCTCAATCAGCATGTCCCAATCTGTGTCCCAATACTACAATCTGCCCCACTGAAGAACTGCTGACGCAAATTTTGCTCCAACTAATTATAAGGTCGTGAAAATTTGAACCGCAGAAATTTCCCTTTAGTTATTGAGCCTTTTCCGTACGTAAGCAGCACAAAGAAGTCCTTTGTAAAATATTAGCCCGTATTTGAGCCTAATTTTGGAATTTTACAATGTAACTAATATCACAACGCCCCAAGTGATCAGAACGGGCTAAAAGGATGCACGAGAACTTGAAGAGGCTGCCGAAAATTGTCTCATCAGTTATTTCAGTACGAGACGTCGAGAAAACCTTTTGATTTCGAAATATGGGAAAATCATGTTCGCGGTTTGATAAAAAAGAAGAAGATTACTGTCTCGAAATCCTTATGCTGGGGTTAAATGGATCAGGAAAAACCACGATTTTAAACTACCTGGATGGAAATTCTGATGAAATCCCTGCGCCAACTATTACTCCATCATTTTCAGCTGGCACTAATTTGAGCAAAGGACTAGATGGACTCAGTATTTCGATTTGGGATTTTTCAGGCGATGAAAGATTTAGACAAGAGTGGAGTCGTTTTGTTCGGGAGCCTCAGGTGCTGCTTTTCGTTGTGGATAGTGCTGACACGTCAAGGATCAAGGAAGTAAGTCAGTATCTTATTAGCATTCTTCAACATCCCAAAATAGAGGGGATTCCTGTGTTGATTCTTGCCAACAAACAAGATCTTCCTGCAGCCCTCAGTCTAACGGAGCTTGCCGAGAGGTTGTCGCTAGCACATTACACAGCAAACCCTTGCGCTTTCCAAAGAGCGTGTTCTTTGACCGGCAAGGGCCTTTACGAAGCAATTTACAAGCTGACCGATATGGATACCAAAACTTCGCGGTTGAAGCGCAGTTCAAAGGATTTGGGACCTACTCTTGAACTGGGAGGATTTTCGCCGGAGGTAATTAAAAGACTTGGTTCTAAGTCCATCACTGTTCGTTATGCGCAAATACAACCTCTGTTTTTTTCTTGAATTCCCTTTTAACGGACTTGCGTCATGCATGAAGAGTTAACAGATTTGTTCTCCTAGTCGGCAATATTGCCGTTATCTCAGTGATTTTTGACAATCAAACGAAATTGAATGAGTCTTGAGACAATAGGTGCAGTAGCAGGGTCTGACAGGTTAAGCTGGAAAAATCGACTATTTTGGTTTTCGGAATCACGCATGAAACAACGGTATTATACAATATGGGAGGTATCATACTTCTGATTATAGGCTCCACCAACTTCATACTTTTCTCTCCAACTCCTTATTCCCCCCATGTCTTTTCTCTCCAACCTTCCTATGTACAAAGCTTTTGACAATTCTTAGCTCAGCCTTCTTGTTTAAATTTAAGATTGGTCTTTTCACTGCAAAGTTTGATCGCTTTTTGGTATCTGCTTTACCTCGAGTACCCGGCTCGATGCACTAATCGAAATTATGACGCTGCAAATTCCCGTCTTTTGGTTTTTCATAACCAGGACTACTTTGCTGTAAAGTCGTACTTATCCAGGGCTGTTAGAGCGTGTAATAATGTCCCTCATTCAAAAGTTCAAAAGTTTAATCCATGTTCCCTATGAGACCAAGTTAAGAGAGTCCTATCAGCCACGATAGATAGACCGTTAGCACACTCTTGTTGCACCCACTCGGTCTTCCTTTTTGTAACCATTCTTTTTTGTTCTCGTCCAAAATTTTGTGGGTATTTTGTTTTATGATTTTAGACATTGTAGGCGGTTGATATTAAATTAGGGCCTCTGCCCTATTTTTATCTCTTTTTGTACTTTGTGTTTTTTCCTTGTATGTAGACATTCTCGTTATACAAATAAACTAATTACTTAATAACTACTTTTGAAAACAAAAGAATAATAACACGTCAATAGAGTACCGAAGTGTGACGTCATAGAAAATGAAATTTGGGAAATTATGGGATTTGTTAAGATATTCTGAAAGAACAACGTCCAAGACGCCTACTCGCCAAAAATTAGCAATTTGGGGCAGATTGTCTCTTAGATATTAGCCCAGTTATGCTCCGATGACTCCATACAAATCCTTCTAAATCTTACCTGGTTCCTAATCTTATGAACCAAGCCAAATTTAGAAGGATTTGTATGGAATCGGCACAGCATAACTGGGCTAATATCTCAGAGACAATTTGCCCCGAATTGCTAATTTTTGGCGAGTAGGCGTCTTGGACGTTGTTCTTTCAGAATATCTTAACAAATCCCATAATTTCACAAATTTCATTTTTATGACGTCATCACTTCGGTACTCTATACCAATCCAAAAGGTTTGGGATAATGAGGTAACCATGCCTTCAACTAGGCCAAAATGCACTTGGCACTGAGGAGTCGCTTTGGTTCGTTGAGGTATTCAATTCCTAAGAAATCCAACAGCTTATCAGCTTTGTATATTCTACCTGACGTTGGCTGGAAAAAAGATTGGCATACAGTTTTCAGCAATACAATACAAATCTAGGGTCTCATTGGGGTTGATCGTCAGTTATCAAACGGCCTAAAATTTAATAGTCAGCCGTAAAAAACATGTAATTTTTTTTGAGTGGTCTCTAATCACACGTAAAATAGTGATATTATGATGAAACAGAAAAAAAATCATCTTACTGTAAAGCATACTCGATTATTTGTCCAGTAGGAGCACGAAAAAGGCATAGAGATAAGACAAGCGCTCACTAAATCAGCCAACAGCAGTCATGCAAAGTCGATTATTTAGCTTACCTGTATTCTAACTGTAAAAATGAATTTCAGGAATGTCTCTTCAATTCACTTATTTCAATTGACACACCTTTAAATGATTAGAAATAGCCTTTGGATGGTCATGTGATCAGAAAGTAGTGACGCAATACTAATACAATAACGTTAGTTCACGAAAATTTGTTTAATGAAACTCGAAAGTGAAATGTATTCCCAAAACAACTTGGCATGATTATCATATGATAGATAAGACAAGACGCAGTAAGGGAATTTTACTACAAGGAAAAACGTTTCATGACATTTTGCCGAAAACAAAATGGCAGTGAATTGGAATTTGAAATCGTTACTTCATAGCACAATAGCACTTAAAATATAGTACGTATTAAACTGATAAATACTTCGGCTTTATGATTCATTCATCTTCGTTTCGTAATTAATAGTGTAATATAGTTTCTTAAGACATCTAAAACTGCAATATATCGGATTTCCCGCATCAGTGCCTTTGAACGGAATTAATGCGGCCATTGTTTGATCCAGTGAGAGACGTTGTCAGTGCGGTTTACCTCTAATCAGTAACGTAACAGTAAAAAACAATCCAACTCTGTCGGTAGAAAGCTAAAAAGGCTCAAGTCAGGTTATACTTAGAGTGTTTTATAATTTGCAGCACATTTATAAGACGTGTAATTTTCAACCAAGTAAGCATGATCTTTGCACATTCATGTACCTGACGCATAAAAATTTAACGAATCTTCAAATAAAAAGTGAATTTTAAACGAAATTAGAGTTTACCAAACTATCATTTACATATAAAATGCCATTCTTATCAGGAAATGTTGAAAATCTTACCTTATACTGACCGTATACGCTAAAAACGAAAGATTTTTTCGGGTTATAGCCAGTTCGTGTTTTGTTGTTTACATGGTTAACACGACAGCAGATCTAGAAATTCTTCGTTATACGGTTGCTGAGGGATTTAACTGCCCGGCATATATTGCAGAAATTTCTCATGCAGCAATATAAACATGGTTTATACTACTACATGAGAAATTTCTGCAATTTGATTGGCTTAGAGCAGTGGTATTTCAGCTTAATTTGAAATACCGTACATGTGAAAATTACAAACCTTTTGTGGGAAGTAGTATAAACAAATAATAGCATGATTCAGTACGTGATTTTTGGCATAAATACCACTCGTGATATTTCAAAATTGCCTCAAATTTTACTCGCCTAACGGCTCGCAAAATTACGTACAACAATTTCGAAATATCACTCGTGTTATTTGTGCCAAATATCACTACAAATCAGGCTATTACCTATACTAATACGACAGCAGAAATTCGTCGTTAAATGCCGGGCAGTTCAGTAAATCCCTCAGCAACCGTTTAAGACATTCAAACTTAGCAATCAAGGACATTCAGCATGTTGAAATTAGAGCTTGTAACAGTTCGTAATTTCATGCAGGCATACGTAACATCTCAGTAAACGTCAGTCGTTTTACGGGCTGAAACCGGTGCGTCTCAGATGAAAAATTTAATAGCTTACAACATGTTACAATATACTTCCGTTCATTGTGTAGCAATACTTCTGATACTTTGACCGGATTCAAAATATTCCTCTTTCCCTTTTTAAAGGGAAACCGCATTTTCGTCTATTCATAGAAACAACATTCACCTTAATGTAATACTGTGGTGAATAAATTAATCAAACGGAAATCTTCAGTATATCATTCTTAAAAATGTGTAGGATGTATTACTCATTTCAGCTTTAAGAAAAGGATGAGATGATTTAGTGCAAGTTATGAGAAGTGATGGATCATAAACTCTCGATTATATCAAAAGTATATTCTATAACAATAAAATAAAATTGTGATATGTAAAAGAAAAGTGGAGATAGCTGCAATAGTTCTACCCTGCTAGCATGAAGAGGTTTTCCTCTAGCATGAGTTTTAGCATGTATTAAGTCGTTCGCCCCCCAAACATGGATCGGGAACGTTAAAGAGCCAAAGCCTCGAATGTTAGCGGTGCGAACAACTTTCAGTACATGCTAAAAACCACGCCCGGAAAGAAACCTCCGCTAGCAGCGGGGTACGATAGTTCATGCATGTAAATGTAAAATCTGTTTTTGTAATGTGCTTTTAACCATTTGTTTCTGGTACCAGTATTCAAGTCTGAGGTTAGCAAACTTACGTCAATGGGTGACGTACGTAACGCGCTAAGTTCATAGGACCCTCAACACCTCTGAAAAAAGGCTTCTATAATTACGACCTTTCATATACTGCAGTTTGCATGTTTAGTAAATACTGTCCTTACAAGACAGTTGCAGTTGTTCTTAGTAAAAGAGAGCGACTTACCTAACACCTAAATAAGTTAAGAAAAAAAAAACTCCCAGATTTTCCGGTTCGATCCCTTGACAGAATACCAAATAGAACAAAAGATGCCACAAACTCTTTAATTTTGTGAACCCGACCTTCAAAACATTCTACCGAGCACGAGACTTGTCTTTTTAAAATTAGTTTTTATCGATAATCAAAAGATTTAGTTAGTATTTTCTAACAACATCTGCGTGTATCTTAATCAGGGGCAGCCCAAAATTCAATTTACTACACTAACACATGATTCTAAAAACGAGTACATCCTTAGTTTGTTGGTTTTTTCTTTCCTTGCTCTCAAAGGAGAAGCGAACGTTCTAAGAAAATTTCCAGCTCCAAGCTAAGTAGGGCAAGAAATTTCCAGACAAAGCGTTTGTCATTATTCTCAATAATACTGAACGACAACTTTACAAGGACCAAATCCTCGTGCAACGCTTGAAGATCTCAAAACCGCTCTTGACCGGTTTTACTTCCGCTACTGCGTCAGGATAGAATAGCTCAGCCAGCGGCCATCACTTATGGGCAAACAGAGTTGGAGTTTATGGTCTTGATCTTACATACACCACAAAAAGATAGAGAAAAGAATTCGATCACAGGGGTAAGTTTGGAAAAAATTATTGGCCCAATCAAACACTTCTCCCTCCCCCACAGAGGCTCCGACTGTGTTTTCAAAAAATAAAATAGGAAATAATAGCGCTTTGCACTATTGACGTCAAGAATTTCTGGTCCCTACTGTGCCTCAGGCATTAAACTTGTCCAGTATAAGAGTTTTGTATGGGAAAGTCACGTTCGCCAACAAATTTTGGTCGTCGTTGAAGATTTTTATCGTTAAAAGAAACAAAATCCAGCTTGGTTTCGATAATATATATTCTGAAAATAATCAAGGCGTGCCAAAACAACGTTAAACATGGAAAAAACTGTACAGATGAGTGATTTTATTATTCTCAATGATACTGAACTGAATAATGTCATTATTCTCAATAATACTGAACGATAACTTTACAAGGACCAAATCCTCGCTAAATGCTTGAAGATCTCAAAACCGCTCTTGACCGGTTTTTTTCCGCTACTGGTTCAGGTTAGACTAGCTCAGCCAGCGGACATCACTTATGGGCAAACAGAGTTGACTCGAAAAGAAATTCTTGCATGGAGTTTATGGTCTTACATACACGGCAAAAAGATAGAGAAAAGAATTCGATCACAGGGGTAAGTTTGGAAAAAACTCTTGGCCGAACCAAACACTTCTCTCTCCCCAACAGAGGCTCCGACTGTTAAAATAAAATAGGAAATAATTGCGCTTTGCACTAATGACGTCACAAATTTCTGTTCCCTGCTGTGCCTCAGGCATTAAACCTGATCGGTATAAGAGTTTTGTATGGGAAAGTCACGTTCGCCAACAAATTTTTGTCGTCTTGAAGATTTTTATCGTTAAAAGAAACAAAATCCAGCTTGGTTTCGATAATATATATTCTGAAAATAATCAAGGCGTGCCAAAACAACGTTAAACATGGAAAAAACTGTACAGATGAGTGATTTTATTTCTTACTGGCTGCGTCAGAATACTGTGGGTAAATAATGTAAAAATGCGTGGAGATAAGCAGTTCACGAAACGGTGCATTAGGTTAAGTTTATAGGCAAAGCTTGAAAAAATTTTTTCTCGAGTGTTTATGTTGCTCTACTTAATACTACAGGATATAAATTACTGTATTCGTCTCGGATTCGCATGTTCTACCAGGCCGCACAACAACAGAACAAAGTTATACAATTTCCGGTTTGTGCTAATGTTGGTGTGCTTTTCTGCTTAGATATTCTGTCGCAGGCTTGAGAGAGGCACATACAAACTCGATTTTTCCTTTAGCAATTTCGGTTTTTTAGTATTACACAGCCACAAACGTTATGTCATGTTTCAGTGCATAGCAGTGCTTTCTGACTAGGACAGAGCTAGGGATCCGATTTTGGTAGCCTACTTTAATCAAGTTTCTTTATTTTCTGATTTTAACGATTTATTTGAGTTACTTGGACCAGGTTTTGCTCCCTATAGCAGTAGTGCCTTTTATATATTGGAATTAATTAACTGGGAATTCTATGAACAATTTTCATGTCGTACTGACGCATGTTGCTCATACAAGGCCTTTGAGTAGAATGCAAAGTTTGTCTGTGTCACGCGGAAGGTCTAAGGTGACAAAACCTATTTTTAGTAATAGCGCAATGCGCTATTTCAAAAGAGTGTGCGCGTGGAGGACGATGGGAAGAGGGAAAAAGCGTGAGCCTCTCTCCTTTCCATCATCCCCCGCGTGCTTTAATTTCGCCTCTTCTCGGCCCGTGACAAAAACAGTCCTCGGCGGAGGAGAGACAAGTCTTTAGTTTCTAGTTTATGTCTCAATCAGAGTGTCCCAATATTATAATCTGCCCCACTGAAGAACTACCGACGCAAATTTTGCTGCAACTAATTATAAGGTCGTAAACATTTAAACCGCAAAATTTCATCTAGTTATTGAGCATTTTCCGAACGTAAACACCACAAAAAGTCATTTGTAAAATATTAGCCCGTATTAGAAGCTAACTTAGGAATTTTACAATGTAACTAATATCACAACACCCTAGGTGATCATGACGGTTGATAGACGGAAGACGCGGCCAAAAATTGTCTCATCAGTTATTACATTACTACTCGACGAGCCAACCTTTTGATTGCGAATTATGGGGAAAACATGTTCGCGGTTAGATAAAAAAGAGGAAGATTATTGTCTTGAAATCCTTATGCTGGGGTTAAATGGATCAGGAAAAACCACGATTTTAAACTACCTGGATGGAAATTCTGATGAAATCCCTGTGCCGACTATTACTCCATCATTTTCAGCTGGCACTAATTTGAGCAAAGGACTAGATGGACTCAGTATTTCGATTTGGGGTTTTCACGGGACGAACGATTTAGACAGGAGTGGAGTCGTTTTGTTCGGGAGCCTCAGATGCTGCTTTTCGTTGTGGATAGTGCTGACACGTCTAGGATCACGGAAGTAAGTCAGTATCTTATTAGCATTCTTCAACATCCCAAAATAGAGGGGATTCCTGTGTTGATTCTTGCCAACAACCAAGATCTTCCTTCAGCCCTCAGTATAAAGGAGCTTACTGAGAAGTTGTCGCTAGCACATTACACAGCAAACCCTTGCGCTTTCCAAAGAGCGTGCTCTTTGACCGGCAAGGGCCTTTACGAAGCAATTTACAAGCTGGCCGATATGGATACGAAAACTTCGCAGCTGAAGCGCAGTTTAAAAGAGTTGGGACCTACGCTGGAACTGGGAGGATTTTCGCCGGAGATAATTAGAAGACTTGGTGCTAAGTCCATCACTGTTCGTTACGAGCAAATACAACCTCTGTTTTTTGATTGAATTCAGTTTTAAGTGACTTCCGTCTTGCATGAAGAGTTATCAGTGTTGCTTTCTTGGTCAATATTGCCGTTATGTCAGATATCAAACGAAATTTAACGAATCTTGAGACAGAATAGCGCTTTGCATTAATGACGTCACAAATTTCTGGTCCCTGCTGTGCCTGACCAGTATAAGAGTTTTGTATGGGAAAGTCACGTTCGCCAACAAATTTCCGTCATCCCTGAAGATTTTTATCGTTAAAAGAAGTCGACTGTACAGGATATAAAATACAGTCGACTCTCTCTTAACGGACACCTCTATAAGACGGACACCTCTGTAAAACGGACACTTAGAGTTGGTCCCTGCCTTTGTTTATTCCCTTTATTTGACTCTTTATAAGACGGACATCTCTCTAAGACGGACACTTAATGCCGGTCCCAAAGGTGTCCGTCTTGGAGAGATTTGACTGTACTGTATAAGATACTGTATTCGTCCAGCGTTCGTTAACAGAACAAAGTTATAAATTTCCGGTTTGTGCTAACGTTGGTGTGCTTTTTAGCTTAGATATTCTGTCACAGGTTTACGAGAAGCACATAGAGACTCGATTTCCTTTTTAGCAATTTCGGTTTTGGAGTATTACACAGCCATGTCATGTTTNAGAATAGCGCTTTGCATTAATGACGTCACAAATTTCTGGTCCCTGCTGTGCCTGACCAGTATAAGAGTTTTGTATGGGAAAGTCACGTTCGCCAACAAATTTCCGTCATCCCTGAAGATTTTTATCGTTAAAAGAAGTCGACTGTACAGGATATAAAATACAGTCGACTCTCTCTTAACGGACACCTCTATAAGACGGACACCTCTGTAAAACGGACACTTAGAGTTGGTCCCTGCCTTTGTTTATTCCCTTTATTTGACTCTTTATAAGACGGACATCTCTCTAAGACGGACACTTAATGCCGGTCCCAAAGGTGTCCGTCTTGGAGAGATTTGACTGTACTGTATAAGATACTGTATTCGTCCAGCGTTCGTTAACAGAACAAAGTTATAAATTTCCGGTTTGTGCTAACGTTGGTGTGCTTTTTAGCTTAGATATTCTGTCACAGGTTTACGAGAAGCACATAGAGACTCGATTTCCTTTTTAGCAATTTCGGTTTTGGAGTATTACACAGCCATGTCATGTTTCAGTGCATAGAGTGCTATCTGACCAAGACTGAGCTAGGGATCCGATTTGAGTAGCCTTCTTTGATCAAGTCGCTTTATTTTCTGATTTTAACGATTTATTTGAGTTACTTGGACCAGGTTTTGCTCCCTATAGCAGTAGTGCCTTTTATATATTGGAATTAAGCTCAAAAAATATTTTAAAAACGCTTGCTGCGAATTCTATGAACAATTTTCATGTCGTTAAACGCATGTTGCTCATACAAAGCCTTTTAGTAGAATGCAAATTTTGTCTGTGTCACGCGGCAGGTCTAAGGTGACGAACTGACCTGTTTTTAGTAATAGTGCAAATCGCTATTGCAAAAGAGTGTGCGGGTGGAGGACGATGAAAAGAGGGAAAAAGCGGGAGCCTCTCTCCTTTCCGTCATCCCTCGCGAGCTTTCTTTACGCCTCTTCTCAGCTCATGACACAAACAGTCCTCCGCGGAGGAGAAACACGTCTTCAATTTCTAGTTCATGTCTCAATCAGAGTGTTCCAATCTGCGCCCCAATATTATAATTTGCCCCACTGAAGAACTGCTGACGCAAATTTTACTTCAACTAATTATAAGGTCGTGAAAATTTAAACCGCAAAAAATTCCCTTAAGTTATTGAGCCTTTTCCGAACGCAAAATATCGGCCCCTATTAGAACGTAATTTTGGAATTTTACAATTTAACTAAATAAATATCACAACACCCTAAGTGATCATAACGGGTGATAGACGGATGCACGAAAACTTGAAGACGAGGTCGAAAATTGTCTGATCAGTTATTGCATTACGACTCGTCGAGAAAACCTTTTGATTTCGAAATATGGGGAAAGCATGTTCGCGGTTTGATAAAAAGGAAGAAGATTACTGTCTCGAAATCCTTATGCTGGGGTTAAATGGAGCAGGAAAAACTACGATTTTAAACTACCTGGACGGAAATTCTGATGAAATCCCTGCGCCAACGATTACTCCATCATTTTCAGCTGGCACTAATTTGAGCAAAGGACTAGATGGACTCAGCATTTCGATTTGGGATTTTTCAGGCGATGAAAGATTTAGACAAGAGTGGAGTCGTTTTGTTCGGGAGCCTCAGGTGCTGCTTTTCGTTGTGGATAGTGCTGACACGTCTAGCATCACGGAAGTAAGTCAGTATCTTATTAGCATTCTTCAACATCCCAAAATAGAGGGGATTCCTGTGTTGATTCTTGCCAACAAACAAGACCTTCCTGCAGCCCTCAGTCTAACGGAGCTTGCCGAGAGGTTGTCGCTAGCACATTACACAGCAAACCCTTGCGCTTTCCAAAAAGCGTGTTCTTTGACCGGCAAGGGCCTTTACGAAGCAATTTACAAGCTGGCCGATATGGATACGAAAACTTCGCGGTTGAAGCGCAGTTTAAAGGAGTTGGGACCTACGCTGGAACTGGGAGGATTTTCGCCGGAGGTAATTAAAAGACTTGGCGCTAAGTCCATCACTGTTCGTTATGCGCAAATACAACCTCTGTTTTTTTCTTGAATTCAGTTTTAAGGGACTTGGGTCATGGATGAAGAGTTATCAGATTTGTTCTCTTGGTCGGCAATATTGTCGTTATCTCAGTGATTTTTGACAATCAAACGAAATTCAGTGTGTCTTTGAGGCAATAGGTGCAATAAGCAGGGTCTAACAGGTTAAGCTCGAAAAATCGACTATTTTGGTTTTCGGAATCACGCATGAAAGTACGGTATTAAACAGTGTCGAAGGTATTATGCTCCTGATTAGGCTCGACCAACTTCACACTTTTCTCTCCAACTCTTAATTATTTTCTCTCCAACATTCCTATATACGAAGCTTTTGACAATTCTTAGTTCTCTTCTTGTTTAAATTCAAGGATGGTCTTTTCACTGCAAAGTTTGATCGCTTTTTGGTACCTGCTGTACCTCGAGTACCCGGCTCGATGCACTAATCGAAATTATGACGCTGCAAATTTCCGTCTTCTGTTTTTTCATAACCAGGACTACTTTGCTATAAAGTCGTACTTATCCAGGACTGTTATAGCATGTAATAGTCTCCCTTATTAAAGGTTTAATCCATGCTCACTATTAATAAGACTAAAGTAAGTTCCTATCGGCCGCGATAGATACACTGTTAGCAGAGTCTTATTTCACACACTGTAGACTCGGTCTTCTTTTTATAACAATTCTTTTTTGTTCTCGTCCAGATTTAGGGGATATTTTGTCTTATAATTTTAGACATTGTAAGCGGTTGATTAAATTGGGGCCTCTGGCCGGTTTTTATCTCTTT